GTTTCCTTGTTTGGATTATTTCGCTCGACGTACCTATGCTCGTGTTGTAAATCTCTAAATACTAAAATCCTCTTTTGTTAGGATCTATGATTTTAGAATATTATGTATTCACTATATTATGTACTTTGAGACATGTTGAGATCTCCAGATTGTTATTAATCATTTCAGACTTTGACTATGTATTCCAGTTTATTTGGTTGAGGAGATGTGTTAATTTGATGTTCTATCATTTCATTAAGTATTTGTTGTAGAACCTTTTACTTGCTTTGTACCTACACCTATTGTTGATTCCTCTAGAGAGATAGTAATTGTGATGGTGAAACATGTTATTACACGGTGTGGTGCATGGCAGGTTTGACATTCCTGGTTTCACCTCGGACTGCAGCCATGTGTGAACCCAGGGGCGTCACATTGTTGTGGGTCTAGCCCAAGATAAGGCCTACATGAGGAGGTCTACATGAATTAGAATTCTATCTATAAGAAGTCTACATGAATTAGGATTCTATATAGAAGAGGATTTGGATGATCTATTTAAAATAGGAATGGGTTTGGAGAATTCTATATAAGAGAGACCTGAGATCAAATTTTGATAGAAGAATAGTTTTTCGGGTGCTACAGTAACCGCGCACTACAGTACCCGAGAGGAGAGAGAAAAAGAGAGAGAAGAAGAGAGAGAGGAAAATTCAGATTCCGGATAGCTCGGGTGTCCGATTGCAGTGATTCAAAAGCCGTTGTCTTCAGAATGACGACGCAGTTGAGGGTACGGTGCTGGTTTCTCCACGGGAGTTAGAGATTTTTAGTGAGATGGGTTTTAGGGTTTTGGTGCCCTAGAGGTAACACTGTATCTTTCTTTTGTGTTTTAATCCTTAAGTTCAGGTGTAACTTGAAGGGATTGTACTCTTGATTCATAGTAGAATATTTTTCTCTGGATTGCCCCATGGACGTAGGCACGATTTGCCGAACCACGTTAAATTTTGGTGTTTGCTTGCTTGTAGTATTTTTCATTGGTGTCATTATTTGTTTAGTGATTAATTTCGCAGATTAATCTCCATAAAATCCCTAACACTTAACAACTAACAAAAAACTTAACAATTATATAAACTTAACAACTAATGCATAAACTTAGCAACCGAAGAAAAAACTTAACAACCGATGAAAAAACTGAACATCAAACACATAAGCTTAATTGATAGATAGTTCATAACAAATGCATAAGCTTGATAACTAATGCATAAATTTAATAACTAACAAAAAAGCTTAATAACAAATGGATAAGCTTAACAATTGACAAAATGTTAACAACAAACGCACAAGCTTAACAATCAATTTGATAATTGATTGTTAAGCTTATGAGTTTGCTATAAACATTTTTTGTTAATTGTTAAGTTATATGCAGTAGTTATAAAGCTTATGCATTTGTTAGAATTTTTTTTGTTAGTTGTTAAGCTTATGCGTTTGTTTTTAGGCTTTTTCGTAAGTTCTTAAGTGTGTGTGTTAATTGTTAATCTTATCCGTTTATTGTTAATTTTTTTATCACATATTAAGCTTATGCATTGGTTGTTAAAATTGTTAATTGTTAATTATTAATCTTATCCATTTATTGTTAAGCTTATGCATTGTTAATTATTATGCATTAGTTGTTAAATTTATGCATTTATTATTAAGATTTTTCATCGGTCGTTAAACTTATCATTGATTGTTAAGTTTATGTGTTTGTTATTAAGATTTTTCATCGGTTGTTAAGCTTATGCATTTGTTAATATTTTTCGTCACTTGTTAAGCTTATGCATTTATTGTTAAGCCTTTTTGTCAGTTGTTCAGCATAGCTATTGGTTGTTAATCTTATCTATTTAGTTTTAACTTTATATGGTATGTAGGTGGTGGGTCCAAACGGAATAGACAAGGGAGGTGATGAGGTAAGAGGGGTGGTGGTGGGGACCACCTAGATGAAGAAGTCGAGTTAGGGGTTGCTGGAGGAGGAGGGATAGGAGAGGGCATGGGTAGAGGATGCAGAGATTTGAAGCCGTAGGAGGAGGAGGGAAGGGAGGGGAAATAGAAGGGTGCATATATGATGGTGGGCTCAAAAAAGGTGAAGCAATGGTTGCTGGAGGAGAGGAGAGGTTAGGGGAGGTAGAGCGATGAATGTACGATGTAGTCCGAGGAGGGAAGGGAGGGGAGGTAGGGACATGGATGTATGATATTAGTGGGCTCAAAGAAGTCCAAGCAGGGAGTTGTTGTAGGAGGAGAGAAGGGAAGAAGAAAAAGATGAGAAAGAAATAAAGAAAGGTGAGGAGAAACAGATGAGACTGGAAGAGCATTATGGATATCTTTTTTTTCTTCTTTTTTAAAGTTGCTGGTAACATGGCACCCAACTTTGGAAGCTAGTAACATAAAAATGTGGATTTTGAAAATTTTGGAAACATTGACTTAGCCTTGGAGGGTGAGGCGTATTTACTTTTGATTTTTGAAGGATTAAATTATTAACCCGTTAAATAAGTTTTATTATAGCCCATGTGATCAGTTTTAGTGTTTGGGAATAACAATAATTTTGACTATTTTCTTTATAATTAGACGGATTAACTCTTTATCCATCTAAACAGGAGTACATTAGTAAACCCCTCATTTTGATGGGTTAACTTATTTTAATTCCTCTAGAGGGGTTAACTTAACACTTCTATATTTTTTATGTTTGACAAATTAGAGGGTTAACTCATTTTAATCATTGTATAGATTTTTTGTATTTGACGGGTTAAGAAGGGGTTAAGTATCATTAACCCCTTACTTAACCCTTTGTTAAACGGTACCGCAAAGAAGTCCAAGCAAGGAGTTGCCGTAGGAGGAGAGATGGGAAGAAGAAAAAGATGAGAAAAAAAGAAAGAAAGGTGAGGAGAAAGAGATGAGACCGAAAGAGCGTTATGGATATTTTTTTCTTCTTCTTTTTTTTACTGGTAACATGGCACCCAACTTTGGAAGCTAGTAGCATAAAAATGTGGATTTTGGAAATTTTGGACACATTGACTTAGTCTTGGAGGGTGAGGCGTATTTACTTTTGATTTTTGAAGGATTAAATTATTAACCCGTTAAATAATTTTTATTTTAGCCCATGTGATTAGTTTTAGTGTTTGTGAATAACAATAAATTTGACTATTTTCTTTATAAATAGACGGGTTAACTCTTAATCCATCTAAACAAGAGTATTAATGAACCCCTCATTTTGATAGGTTAACTCTTTTTAATCCCTCTAAAGAGATTAGCTTAACATTTTTATATTTTTTATGTTTGACAAATTATGAAGGGTTAACTTATTTTAACCCTTATATAGATTTTTTATATTTGACGAACTAAAAAAGGGTTAAGTCTCCTTAACGGTACCGTAGGGCTTAGGGCGAAGTTTAGGTTCAGACGCTTTCGTACAGATATGTTTTTGTACGGTCCAAGCTTCAAACGGGTGGCCCCACCCTCACGAGTCAGTGAAAGGTAGTGCGGTTTGTGATGTAAAACGTTCATACCCACTTGCTGACAGCTGGCCCCGCCTTACCCGGACTTGTCAGAGCGGTGGGCCCTACAAAACGTTTTTCCTTCTTTATTTTCCCCCGATTTTTCTAAAAGTTAAACCTTCACCGCTCATCCCACAGCCCAGCTGTCCACCGGTAATATCACGTGAGCAAGTGTCCGTATCACTGTCAAGCGGGCCCCACGTCAAGACTCTGACACTTCAAACCGGTCAATGGAACCCGTCACGTGACAAGCGCGTGAAAGACTCGTGTCACCTATTAAATGAATGGGACAGGTTAAGGAAAGGTGTTAGGCAGTCGCACTGGAAACGAAAATGAAGCGAGAGGCTCGCGTTTAACAAACAAGCAGCTGACCTGTCATTTCTTTAAAATAAATAAAATAATTACTTTGGCTTGCGGTGTGAGACAACAATTGTGAGAAGACAAGGCTGACACGATGTCAGAGGTCTTTGTACGCTACTACACTCATATGGATAACGACCGTTAAACATCCGTTCATTAATTTTATGGAAATTAATTCTGGGTTATTTTCACTTTTCGTATCCTAAAGTTTATTATTTTTTAGCCTTGACAAATAAATATTTTCTTTTGGAATTTTGATATATAAATAATATTTTTAAAAACTTTGATGTCACATATTTTACTTGACATTTTGATGCTCACAAGTTTACAATTTTTTTTAACTTTGATACTCTAAAAAAATTTAATTGTCATGCCCCGAAGTTTTTCTTCCACCATTAAATTTTGGAATATCGAAATGCCAAACAAAAAACTTTACGATATGAAGTCAAAAAAAATTTAAACTTGGGGGATAGCAAAGTCACAAAACTGTGTATCCAAACGTCAACAGAACACTTTCATGTATCCAGATATTAAAACTCCGAAATATTAAAATAAAAAATTGTTCAAAGGTCAAAGTTTAAGTGCCAAAAAAAACCTCTTGAGGCATTATAGAATTTAGAAGGGTGTGAATTTAGGGTACAAAAGTGTAAAAAAACCCTATATTTTTACCCATTTAGAGGTTATTTATTTAAGAAGACAATTGTTTAGAAGTTCATTTATTTAGTATGCCCTAGATTACTAGGTATATTCCTTGAATTAGTATAGAACAACATGTAAGAAATAATTTTTTTTCTTTTTTTTTTGCATAAAAAGAAAGAATGTTACAAATTATTGGAAAATAAATGATAAAAATTGCATATAACATTTCTCTTGTAGTTTTATAAAAATAATAAAGTTAGATGATAAAACTGTTATGCATTTTGAAAATCTAAAGTCACAAACGATGGATCATTGTTCTTTTCTAAGGAATGTATATTGTTTATACTCACTCGTACCTAATACTAACTATAAATATTTCATACTTATTATACTACCTTAAATGTTATTCCCCGATTAATTTCGTTTCATAAATTTGTTAACCCGGGGGAAAAAATGATTTTTGGGTTATAAAATTGTGACAGTGGCGTACAATTCTCAAGCTCTCAAGGGTACAAGAATACAAATTTTTATAGATGTGGTTAAAGCTATAGTTTTGCCAGTAAAAAACAATGTCCGTCACCAAAAATGCCATCTGTATGCCTACTTTGAAATCTAAATACAAGCTTCCATTCTCGGTGCCGCCTAATCCCCAAAACCCTCCATTTTCAGTGAAAAGTAACGAAACAGCTGCTCCCCAAAAAAAAAATTAAATAAATAAAATCGGAAAAAAAATCCGCTGATTACGGATCCAAGTTTCCACAAGGATAATGGGCGAAGACCATGAACCCAATCTCGAAGACGAATCTCGGCCATCGAAAGTTGCCCGCGTCAGCTCACCAGACGAATCATCAGATGCAGGTAACTACTTGATCCATTTTGTTCCTTATTGTTCGCAAAAAGATTCCATCTTTTTGAATTTTGATCGGTTGAATTAGGGAAAGTGACGACGGCGGTGGCGTCTCCTCTAGGATTAGGGCTAGGGCTTGGAATTGGAGGAGGAGGAGACTCGGAATCGAGTAAAGGTGGGGGTTTTACTTTTATGCAGATGCAGGAGTTTCACCATCAAGCGCTGATTTTTAGCACATGGTCGCCGGAATCCCAGTTCCAGTTCACCTCATTCTCCCAATTTGGAAGAGCGTCGCCGCCTCGTATGGGCCCACCACTACCCCTCTTGTGAGTAAATCCATCCAAAATAAGAAATAATATATATATATATATATATATATATATATATATATATATATATATATATATGAAAAATGGGTATGTTTGGTACCAAACATAATATTTTATGTTTGTGTTTGGTAGTGAGTTGTCCTATTCCTATCCACTCATTTCAATTCTCACCACTCTCCCAACCCATGATGAATGTGGGCCTAATTTCATTGAGTGGAGAGGAATATGCCACCTCACTGTCAATCACAAAAACTTATGGTTAGTACCAAACACACCTATTTCTCTTTCTCTCTCTCTTTATATATATATATATATATTATATATATATATATAATATATATATATATATATATATATATATATATATTATATTTATCTCGTTATTATCACTCATGGCAACTTAATTCCGTGAGAATAGTAATTTTTGGCAACTCATATTTATAGAAAAGTGAAGTTCAAGAAAAATTGCTTTCGGGAACAGTAATTTTTATTACGGTTTGTTTGCATAATCTTATCTATTACGATTATTAAAAAATTCTCTTTGTGTTCTACCCCCATGCGAGTCAGGAATTCTAATAAGTCCATGAAATGTCCTGATAATTTACACTTAGTTTAAGAATAATGAAAATAGTAAATCTGGAACACTCAAAAGACTACCATTTTAACTCCATCCATCTCATGTTCATGAATTTGGATCATCTTCATTACAAAAAATAGCAAAGAGAGCACTACTTTTATCATAACTGTTGATTACTTAGTTAGTGAGTGATTGTGATACATTCTAAATCTAACACTCATTGGTCCCCATATGTTGCAAAAAAATCATAACCACCCACTAGATAGTCAATGGTTGTGATTAAGTAGTGGTCCTTCCAAGCCTTTGAATCCATTCTCTTTAACTATCCTTATTAGCCTCTAATTATCTTTAATACCCTACTTACTCAGTCATCCCTCCAACTTATCATTTTTAACCTAAACGTAGAATTATGTACGCACATATAGTGTGCACAAGAAATACTTTTTGATAGTAAGTTGAGATGACGGATGATGTGATATTTGCTTTCTTGGTATTATGTTTGGGTGTTAAGAAGTGTATTGTAGACAGTGACCAATTAAAAAATAAATGATAAGAGAGGAAAGAATATTTTCTCTCTTTGTTAATCACTTTCTACCAATTTCTTGAAAAAAAATTGAGAAAGCGAAAAGAATTACAATGATGATGGGTCAACCTCCACTGTTTATTCACTTTCCATTTGCTGCCAACTAGAAAAGAAGAAAAGAAAATGAGGACATTTTTCATTTTTTTGATGTGATGTGATAAGAATTAGTTATGTGATGAATGATGAGTACTAAACGAGTTCAGAATTTTTTGTTTTCATGTATTTGTTGAGGATTTGGGAATCTTGTGTTCAAGGCTGGAACCTACAAATAATCATGGATTTATAGAATAGAATGCTTAGTTACCATTTTTCATGCAACATATTAGATGTATCCAATGAAATTCCCTACAAATTATGTTGATTTTAGTCGGGTTTGCAACTTTCGTCACATATCCTCAATAAAATTCATGTGTAACAAAACAAAGTCCGGTTGAAATTTATCTCTCATGTATATCCATCCTCTTTAAAATCCATTGCAAACAAATAAGATTTTGAGTATGGGTTTTTCAAAATCCCTTACATGCATAATTTTTTTTGAATGATGCAATCTACGAACCAAACATCCCTGAGTGATAATAGGCTTAATAGCAAAGTTACATTAGTACGTTGCAACAAAGGAGGGTGTAACTATAGTTAGTTGTAACCGGGATATATTTGAACAGTTATAAATGGGGAACAACTTGGGTGCTCCAAAATATAATTAGGATCCACACAACCAAAAATAATTTGAAGTGGTCATGGCATGGTATTTACTTATGAACCGAATCCTAGCACTTTAATCCACAATTTTAGGATTAGTAATAGGTGTTCCATAGTGACTAATATAATTTTGTAAGTAAGTTGAATTTTAATATAACAATAAAAGCAATTTATGAACTAATATATTAGTAAGCGCTTATTTGTTTCATGCACATTTTGCGGGTTTTGCATTGAAAAATGGGACCCATAAGTCTAAAATCATAAATTGTTATCAAGTATATTCTTTGTTTGACATTTTTCATGTCACGAATTTAGGGATTCCACATAGTATTTAGTGATATTATGTAGGATAGATGCATCAAATGTAATTCATTAAAACTATACTAATTTCACTGAATTTGTGAGTTTGGTCACACATTCTCAAATCTCAACAAATTTGTGTGCAACCTATCAAAATTTGGTTGAATTTCATCCCTCGCGCAAATACTCTTTAACGCTAATTGTAAACAAACAATAGTTTTGAGTATGGATTTTTCAAAATCCTAACATGCATGTAAACCACAAACCAAATAGCCCCGAAGAAGAGTTTAAGAATTAAAAATATCATTAAGAAGGATGTAAACTTATTCTGAGGATTGTATCTTAAAGCTTCCAATTGCAACTGACAATTTAATAAGATTTGGAGATCAAGTTACAAATGCAATCTTTTGAACTGTTGGATATCATCCAAATTGCATCTCTAATTGCAGTCAGATTCAAAGAATAAATATAAGGACAAATTTTCAAAAGAGACCTATTTGGACTTTAAAAACAACCCGTTTTGAAGTTATTTTTAAAAACCGACCTGATTTCAGCCCTGTCGTTGAAACCAGGTCGGTTTTTGCGAAAAAAGTTTTCAAACTTCACTGGACTTCAAGTCCCGTGAAGTTTAGCAGCCAATTTGTTAAGTTGCTAAACTTCACGGGACTTCAATTCCCGTGAAGTCCATTTTTACTTTGAAATTTCACTGTTCGTATTATTCATCCGTTCTTTATTCCCTCCGCCTTCAAAACCGTTATTCATTCCTTAAACCCAATTTTTTTTTACAAAATCCCTCTTCTCAAGTCCTTGCCCTAGGAGCCTCCAAAACCCTTACCGAAATCAACATGATCCCTTGCTTCTTCCCTATCCGTTTTTGCTTTAATTGCTTGTCCTTCTCTCAGCTGAAGACAAAAGGCCAGTTCCAAAGCCATAACTGTTGCTTCGTTGGGAGAGCAGGAGGTGTCACTGGCATGACTCCTCATGAAATTGAACATCAAATCACTTGGATTATTGTTTTTTGTTGCTTCTCCCCTATCCATTTTTGCTTTAATTGCTTGTCCTTCTCTCAGTTGCTTTTTGTTGCTTCTCCCCTATCTGTTTGATTTTTGAGATTTTATCATGGATATGGAAGAGAGAGTTGAGGGAAAGATAACAGGGCTTTGGTTGAGTTGAGGGAACAGGGCTTCAGTTGAGTTGAGGGATTGGTGGGGAAGTTAGGAATATATGTGGGATTGACTGGTAAAAGAGCATGAACGCTAAAACAAACTTCACGGTGAATTTTTGTGAACTTTAAGACTTCACGGGACTTCAAGTCCCGTGAAGTTTAGCAACTTAACAAAATGGCTGCTAAACTTTACGGGACTTGAAGTCCCGTGAAGTTTGGGAACTTTTTTCACAAAAACCGACCTGGTTTCAGCCCTGGGATTGAAACCAGGTCGGTTTTTGCAAATAAAGTTGAAAGGGGTTGTTTTTAGGAATAAATGTGTAAATAGGGCGGTTTTGAAAATTCGTCCATAAATATAAAAACCGATTTCTTGTAACAAACACCTCAATTTACAACTTTGCATCTACAGATTGTTAATTTTATAACATCATCAATAATTACAATTACATTTGTAAGTAACTGCAACCACAAATTGTAAACTTGAAAACTTAATCAACAATTACAATTGCATGTGCTTCTGTTATTTGCATCAAAATTGCAGTCTGCAGTTAGTTCAATTGCGCTGGTATTCGCATTGGATTTACAGTTGCAACGTTAGGAATACACTCTCTAATTGTTAGTTGTACAAGAGAAGGATTATCTGCAATTTACCATTTTTCGTTTGATACTTATAATTTTAGTACATTTTTTGGTGTAGTTGTGGGACTCGGGAATTTGTGCTACGATTTCAGGAACAGCATGGAGCCAGAACCAGGGAGGTGCAGGAGAACTGACGGGAAGAAGTGGCGATGCTCACGCGAAGTGGTTCCAGACCAGAAATACTGTGACCGTCACATGCATCGTGGCCGCAATCGTTCAAGAAAGCCTGTGGAAGGAGTCGGAGTTACTACTACTGCTCCTGCCACTGCTACATCGGAGCTCTCCATTACTGTACCTGGCGACGATGGACCCACAAAGACCGATGTAAACCACCCGAGTTCTAGTAATAATGTCGGTGTCATTAGTAGCGATGCTTTAGGTGTAGAAGCTGGAGGTGGTAGAATTGGGTTGTCGCCAGTTAGTGTATTGAGTGGCGGGGCTGCTTGTAAAACTGGCGCTTCTTAGGATTATAGTTTACTTGTTCTTTCTGAGTGATGTATTTCGTTGTAATTTAGCTTGAGGAGTAGAGAGAAGGCAGTGACATCGTGTTCTGTTGGTGTTGATTTTGGTTTTGGATGGAGAACGAAAAAAAAAAAAAAAATCCCTATCCTGTTCCCTGCTCCATATTATCCTCTGGTTTATTGAATATTAGTTCTCCTGTTATTAAGCGAGCCGGATGATCGCTAGGTAGTATATGTAAACTTTTGTTTTGTTTACACCTGGTACTTTGAGGTGGAGTGTAACCATATGGATGATGTTGAAGTTTGTATATCTACGTGGATAATTATAAGATTACGACTGAGAGTTCACACGGATAATTCCAAAGAAGTTTTCTTAGGGTAATCTAGTAATTTTAGGATTATCTGTGCATACATAGAAACCTAAGGTCATCCAGTTAGTTACACCATATACTCTAAAGTACCGGGATGTAAATAGTCCTTTTTATTTTTCTTCTTTGCGTTCGTGTTTTTATGTTATTGAAGAGATTTTTACGTAGTTCAACATCTCTAGTACATGCATTGAACAACAGATTAAAGAACCTTTTTTTAATGATTAAAATACGTGAAAATATAAATTATCCTATAAAATCGGTTAATAATAGTTAATGTTTGGGTAGAGGATTTCATCAAATAGGCTGCGTTTTGATGTTACCTTTCTTTTTATAAGTTTATTTTTTTAAATGATTAATACATGGAAATATAAATTTGTAAAATCTCTCTCCCATTGGATGTTAAATTTACCCATTGAATGTTAAGTTTAACATTGATTGTTAAAGCTTACTCATCGGTTTCTAAGTGCACTCATTAGCTGTTAAGTTTACTCATTAGTTGTTAAGTTTAGAGTATAACTATTAGGGAATTATATATCTGTTCTTATATAACATTAGTCGTTAATACTAAAGATTGGTTGTTAAACATATGTATTGCCTATTAAACATATAGCAAAAATGTTAAAAATATTTGAATGCTTCTGCAAGCTGATTCTACTCATCTTTAAGCAAAAGAGGACAAACAATACAACATAAAGCTGCATATATATGATGGCAATGGAATCAAGTTGTTTGCTTCATTCTTAAGATCACTTTAGGGAGACGTGCTCTCTATAGCCTCATAATCCCACTGCAATCTGCGACTATGTTCCCAACTCGAGACCTATTCGACGAAATTCCCAACCCAAACATTAATTATTATTAATCGGTTTTAGTGTTAGTTGTCAATATTACTGGACAAGTATTGCTTAAACTCTTAAATTGTTAAATATTGATTTTGTTTGTTTGACTTGTTTGTTTGATTTCTATTAACCTATACAATCACCTCTTTTAAGTTTCCAAACTACCATTCATACTAAATTTCATCCAACTCAATATTTTAAGAAACAAAAAAAAAATATCCTAAAAATTTGTTCGCTCATGAGCTTATATGTTAAGTATGAGCATTTCAGTTGTTGAAAGAGTCAGTATTAGAGCTAATGTGATCATATATGAAAACACTTCAATTAATAATAGCTAAATGCACTCTAAAAATTATCACTTTTAATGGTTATAGTATAACCTTAGCATGTGCACCATTACCTTAAAGAGTTATTTTAACAGACAAATAAAACTAAATAGCCAATGGGTAAACTTAACAGCTAATAAGTAAACTTAAAGATTAATGGGTAAACTTAACAGCTAATTGTTAAACTTAACATCAAATAAGTAAATTTAAAAAACCAATGGATAAACTTAACATCCAACGTTTAAAATTAACATGTATTGTATAAACTTAATGGTTATGCTATAAACTTAACATACAATGAGTAAAGTTAACGTCAACTAGGTAAGATTCACAGCTAATCTTCATTAGTTCACAATCAAACCATATGATTATAAGTTTGTGTAATTTTGATGTTTACATACGCACAACATGGATTGCTAGATGGACTATAGTCTTCCACCAATAAAAAATAGTAGTTTATAACCCCCGCCACCGTAAACATTACATGATAAAAGAGTGAAAAAGGGATAGCTATAGCAGCTTTACAATACAAGATGAAGAAACAACTACTAAAAACCAACTAAAGCATCTTCTTGATCACAATATAACTCCACATTAACAATCCCTAAAACTTGTTATGAAGAGTTGGACCTCAGAATTTTCCCTCATAATTGCCTTCAAGAGCACTGCTCAATTATTTTGCTACCTTTTCCTCAGAGTCCCCTGTTCACAATTATCCTATTAAAAAAAGAAATAGAGTAAATGAACTTTTCAGCAAGAGAGACAACTTTGATGCAGGTGAAGAGCAAATTGAACAAAACCAATAACGTTTCCATCTTTTGGAGGATTGGTAAAAAAACAACTCTAAAATTCCTATATAATTTTGATACTTGTTTGTTAGATAACTGGCCAAGCATTTTCAAGCTTGAAGAGGAGGAGGAGGTAGAGAAGGAGGAAGAATTTAGGGTTTGGAGAAGGGGAGAGGGAGGTGATGAAGTTTATGATGGTGGTTGAGGTTGTAAAGGAAGTGAGAGACTTGGCTTGAACTATTTGAGGATGCGCTTGAGGTTAGTGATGGTGGGTGAAGAGGTGAGAAAAGAGGATGAGAGGGGGAGGAGCGACAGCTTTTGCAGCGGTGCTGGTGTTTAGGGCATCTCCAACCCTTTGCCTCAAAATGGTGCAAATTTTGCACTAAAATGGTGCAAAAGTCACATCTAACAGTAATTCATCTCCAACCTATTGCACCATTTTTTGCACAAAAAAAGAATATTCTCAGTATCTTTCTTTTTATCTACTTTTATATGATTATTTTTTATTCCCTATATTTTTAACTATTTCAACAATTAACCTCACATATCAAATTTTATTTTTTTCACATATTTTCCAAACAAAATGATTTATTATTTAAAAAATTAAACTAATAAAACAATAAAATATTATATACCTGTTATTAATATTGCCAAAATATTACATTCAAGAACACAACAGAAAATAAAATGTAAGAAAATAATTAAACATTAACAACAATGTAAAAATTACAAATTTAGTATGCTCTTAACTATCTGAATTAGTGTATTCCTCTCATAGATGATCTATCAATGCATTACGAAGCGCAATATGAGCATCTTTATCCTTGATTTTTCCGTAACGTGCAATAAATTGAGTAAATCTTGTAGTTTCATCTGCTACCATATCAACTTCTGGTGTTGGTGCTTCCCTCACTTCTTGAATTGGTGCATAAAGATCACGTTCATCCTCGATTATCATATTGTGCATAATAATGCATGCAGTCATTATGTCATGTAATACATGTTTTTTCCAAAAACGTGCTGATCCTGCCACGATTGCAAATCGTGATTGGAGAACTCCGAACGCACGTTCTACATCTTTTCTACATGCTTCCTGTTTCATGGCAAAATATTTTTTCTTCCTACCTTGTGGCTGTTGGATTGTTTGTACAATAGTAGCCCATTTCGGATATATACCATCAGCTAAATAATAACCCATATTATACTCTTTTCCTTGAATAACATAGTGAGCGGGAGGAGCAATACCTTGAGCTAGGTTAGAGAAAAGATTAGATGACTCCAGCACATTGATATCATTATTGGTGCCTGACATACCAAAATATGCATGCCATATCCAAAGATCATAATCTGCCACAGCTTCGAGGAAAATAGTTAGTGACCCACTACGTCCTGTGTATTGCCCAGACCATGCTGTTGGACAATTTTTCCATTTCCAATGCATACAATCAAGACTTCCTAACATTCCTGGAAAACCACGTTTTTTTCCAATATAGAGTAGCCTAGCAATATCATTAGCGTTAGGTGTTCGTAGATACCGCTCTACGAATATTTCCACCATAGCACGACGAAATTTTGTCATACTTTCAATTGATGTTGACTCACCTATTTTAACGTATTCGTCCGTAGCATCAGCTGGTAGACCGTATGCCAACATGCGAAAAACAGCTGTTACTTTCTGTAACGGTGATAATCCCATTCTACCAAGTCCATCACTTTGTTGTTGGAAGTAATAGTCATGATCTTTCACTGCATCAACAATACGAAGGAACAAACTTCTTGACATCCGATATCGACGACGAAACATATCTTCTCCAAAACGTGGATTATCGGCAAAGTAATCAATGACCAAATTCTGATGCGCATTTTCTCGATCGCGGTTGATCACTGCATGACCGGGAATCGAGCCACCATGGATCGCGTTGGTATGTTGTTGTTGATTGTAAATTTTAACAGAGGCATCATGTTGTTTGATTGATGTACTCACAAATTACTCTTCTTCGGTTTCATCAATCTCTGCAATGATATTGGGACAGCAAAAATTATCATCATCCGAAGATGAAGATTGATGATAATGTATTGATGGACACTCCAACATCCGAAATTCATTTTGAAGTATAGCTAAAAAATGACTGAAGTATGCAGAAATGGAGAATAATAATTTACACAACAACGAGTAATTATGTGGATGTACCTAATCTTAGTATGCTATTATAAAACTTTGCTTAGCTGTATACATTGAACAATGTGTAAAGTTAGCAGCTTGATTTTAGGAAATGCTTTCTAGCTGTTATCAATTTGTCACAAAATTCAAATTTGCTTTTACTGTATATGTTGCGACAATGTGTAAAGCTGCGCTGATTTTCAAAAAATGATTCCCACTCGTATAAACTTTTCACACAATTCAAGAGAGCTGAGCTGTTATGTGTTTGTTGGAATTTGCCAGTAAAAAAGACAATGAAAGAATGTTGACTTGTATTTCTCTCAAAAATCGATTACAATTTGGATTCCGATTACAAAAGAGAGGAGAATGAATTTGAGTCTCCCCTTTGTTTAATTCTGGGTTCTTCACGGTGGCGATGAGATGTCTCCCTCGAATGCTCGCGTCGAGTTTGCTTCTCGTTGACGATCCGAACGTCTTGATTCACTAGAACGGGATTTTCTCCTCACGATTTGACGCTGTGGAGAACTTGCGTGGTAAGTTTGAAAATAACTCTTAACGAGTTGATAACTCAGAGAGCGAGTTTTAGAAGAACTTGCGGAGTAAGTTTTGAACTCTGATCGAGTTGATAACTCTGAACGAGTTTGAAACTCTTGAAAAAGAGTTGATTTGAACCGAAAGTCGGTTATAAGCCAAGGGAATGCTCCAAGGATTTTGTTGCTGCCGAAAGCTCCCAGAATTCCCCCAAAAGGTCAGCCGAAGATCTCTTCTTTGTTGCCCCCAAAAAGAAGGATCTGAACTCAGTTGAGTTTCCCACTATTTATAGGGTATTTAGGGGTGTAACCGTGGGGTGTAACCGCCCCCTCTTAAACAGCTCCCTAAATAGTGGGGAAAACGGTTTTGAAACCGTTCTGTTAGTGTTTTGAACGAGTCAAAATGCTGAAAACAGCGTTCTGGGCCCAAACTGTGCGTTTCTGGACCTGAAACGCAGAGTTAGGCCTGAAAACGCACAGTTGGGCCTGTTTAAAGGCTGAAAACGCACAGGTCGTGCTGTTTTAGAGACGAACTCTGCGTTTTAGGCTGAAAACGCAGAGTTAGGCCTGTTTAAAGGCTGGAAACGCATAGGTCGTGCTGTTTTAGAGACGAACTCTGCGTTTTAGGCTGAAAACGCAGAGTTAGGCTTGTTTAAAGGCTGAAAACGTACAGGTCGTGCTGTTTTAGAGACGAACTCTGCGTTTTAGGCTGAAAACGCAGAGTTAGGCCTGTTTAAAGGCTGGAAACACACAGGTCGTGCTGTTTTAGAGACGAACTCTGTGTTTTAGGCTGAAAACGCAGAGTTAGGCTTGTTTAAAGGCTGAAAACGCACAGTTAAGCCTGTTTTAGAGATTAACTCTGCGTTTTGATGTTGAAAACGCAGAGTTGAGCCTGTTTTAGGCTGAAAACGTACAGTTCGTGCTGTTTTAGAGATTAACTCTGCGTTTTGAGGTTATAACGCTGGTTCGCCCTGTGCGTGTTGGCCTTCTTGTTTTGATGATGTTTAACAAATAATTTACCATTAATGTTGTTTATCTAGTATTTGTGTTTTCTTATTTATTATAGACAAACAACGTTGTTGGAGGATGGATGGAATAGAGCTTCAACGATCATATCCAAAGGAGATTGGCGGAATGTCGGTGAAGCAATATACAATTCAAGTTAAAGATCAAGTTCAAAGATTAAGTTCAAGCTTCATCCGCAACGTGTAGCAAGTTGAGCCATAATGAAGATCAAGATCATTGCTTGGGTAACTTTAGTTTAGATTTTATATTATGTGTGTTAAGTACCTTAAGCTCAATATCATATACACACACGTATTTGGTTTCTATGTATATATATAGTTATATATATACATGCATGGTTTTGAGTTTTCATGCTTTGGACACACTTGCGAAATACATGAGTTTTCACAAATAGAAATTCAATTTGAGAAATTCTTTTTCTAACATGTTTGTTTTCATGTTTACAAACATTTCGCAAAGTTTCATCAAGTTTGAAATTGATTTGTTATGTTTAAAGGAATTTACAAATTCACGTTTTCGTTCGTGCACATGTTCGTGCATGTTTTACAAAACAGATAAGTTTTCATAAATGGGAAGTGATATTTGAAAAATTCTTTCTCTGACATGTTTATCTACATGTTTAGAAACTTTCCTCCAGTTTTTACTATTTTTGGAGTTGATTTACTGTACCAATTGATTTTACAAAATCGTATATGTTAACAGTTTTTCAGAAACTGTAAAGAATTTTCGGTCGACCGACAATATAGCCGTTGTCTCCTAACGGCTATTTCTGAGCTGATTTGTCTGGGGCTGTTTTGTCATTTTGTTTGGGGTTTTTGTTTAGATCTTGAGTGGGTATAAATACCCAATTGCTGATCTCTTTTCAAGTATCTAAGAAGTTTTTAAAATAAGTTTTAAACAAGGGTTTAAAGTGTGTTTAAGGGTTTGTTTTGTTTGTGAAGAAGTTTTCACAAGTGGAGGAGATCATCTTCTTGTTTGGGCTTCAATCTCCATCTCTCCATCTTGTTATTCAGAGAAGAATCTCTAAACTCATTTCTAGCTATTTATTATTTTGTTTATAATTTCTATATGCTAGATTTTAATTGAGTTTAGTTTTGATTTTGATTTCACTCATTGTTTACACACACCCACTTGAGCTTATTGTATTTGCATTCATAATATATTAGGGTTGTGAGAGTTGTAACATTGAGTGTGGGCTTTTATTGTGTTCTCATCCATATTAGAGAACAATTTATATTTGTTACATTGTGAGATTGTTAGGTTTTCGGTGAGCTAGAAACCGAGTGTGTTGTGAAGTTTTCGGTGAACTAGAAAACCGAGTGTGGAGGAGTGACGTTGTTCGGTGAGCGTTGAAAACCGACACTGTGAGGTGTAAACGTTATTCGGGTGAACGTAGAAAACCCGGTTGTGATAGTGGATTTCTCCCCGGGAGTGGGGAGCGGAGACGTAGGACGGAAGGTCCGAACTCCGTGATCATATCGTGTGTTTGAGTTTGTCATTGGCGCATTTGCTTTTGCATTTATCTTATATCGCTAATTGTACATTGCTCATTTATTTCATCCACTATCTAGTTCATTTTGTTTACCTTTGTGTTGTTTATATATCCTTGCATATATCTCATAGTATATCTCTTTGCTAGGATATTTACCTTTGTTCATATTGCTTATTCTTGCTTGTAACATATTGTAGATCTCTCTTGCAAGAATAATTTGTTAATTAATTTTAATTGGTATTTAATCGGATTAGATTAGCATAAGACCCTAATCACCCCCCCTCTAGGGTCTAACAATGCGTTTTGGCTCCTTGAAAATATGAGAGTCGTCAGATGGTAACTCCCGATGTTGATTGTGAAGGCTGTTGAATTGGGGCCTTCATTAGTTGTTGTGAAGGTCGTCAGATTGTAACCTTCTACGTGAAAGTCCTTAAATTATAACCTTCTGGAAGTCGTCAGATTGTAACTTCCATCATCGGTGTTTGATGGGGGATCAACTATTTATTGTGATTTTTAGACAGCCTACATGTATACGTTGGACAATGTGTAAAGCTGACCTGATTTCAAAAATTGATTCCCACTCATACAAAGCTTTCACACAATTCAAGGAGAGCTGAGCTGTGTATACGTTGGACAATGTGTAAAGCTGAAAGCTGACCTGATTTCAAATTTTGATTCCCACCGACAACGTTGGATAATGTGTAAAGCTGACCTGATTTCAAATTTTGATTCCCACCGACAACGTTGGATAATGTGTAAAGCTGACCTGATTTCAAATTTTGATTCCCACCGACAACGTTGGATAATGTGTAAAGCTGACCTGATTTCAAATTTTGATTCCCACCGACAACGTTGGATAATGTGTAAAGCTGACCTGATTTCAAATTTTGATTCCCACCGACAACGTTGGATAATGTGTAAAGCTGACCTGATTTCAAATTTTGATTCCCACCGACAACGTTGGATAATGTGTAAAGCTGACCTGATTTCAAATTTTGATTCCCACCGACAACGTTGGATAATGTGTAAAGCTGACCTGATTTCAAATTTTGATTCCCCCCGACAACGTTGGATAATGTGTAAAGCTGATCAGTTTGTACAAAATGATTCAATTTCAAATGTTGACCACCGACAAATTCAAATTCAAATTCAAATTCAAACAAAAAAACAAATTTGGATTGGCTATAAATAACATTCACGAATTCTACTTCAAACCACCAAATTCGAAGTATTTCTGATCTCCAAACCAACCACTTTTTACAAAAAAAAGCTGATCAGTTTGTACAAAATGATTCAATTTCAAATGTTGACCACCGACAAATTCAAACCAACCGCAAATTAAATTCAAATTCAAATTCAAATTCAAAAAAAAAAAACAAATTTGGATTGGCTATAAATAACATTCACGAATTCTACTTCAAACCACCCAATTCGAAGTATTTCTTCAAAGTATTTCTGATCTCCAAACCAATCGCTTTTTACAAAAAAATGTATGTTCGATCAACTGGATACACGGTTACTGAAGATGTGCTCCTTTGTCAAGTATTCTTGGATATTTCTCAAGACCCTATTAT